TCCGGTGCTTTCTTCAGTGAGTTCCTTCTTTCCTTTGTGCCAGCTCATTTTATCTGTCATAACAACAGCACCTACTTGGCTGAAAACASAAGTCTGAGTAGCAGTTTGAAAGGCTCTCTTTTGCTGTGTTGTACCTGGTAAAGTCTGGATCTGTTACTCTACAAACCCGTGAGGTTCCTGGTCACACTGGAGTTCAGCTGAAATCAGTGAGTAGATGCTTTTCATCCAATGAAGCAAATACCTGCTCTGAAAAATCCTGCAGGCACCAAGTGACTCTGGATATTCTTGCTCTATTCCACGTAATTATGGAAAGTAGGCTTGGACATKAAATGTAATGAATATTTCCCTCTACATGCTCTCTCTCATGATTAAGGAGTTCTTTCAACCAAGAGTAGAGGCAGCTTGTTTGATACAAGCGAAGAGCCAGGGAGCAGCTTTGTGCAGAGAGCAGGAGCAGTGAAATAAATGTGAGATGGAACAAACACTGCTTAGCAAAAACCAGAACCCTGGAAAGATGAAGAACCAACTGGGGATTTTAGTTAAGGCTTGGAAATTGTTTCCTTTTTCTTTTGATAAAGCAGTTGATTAGGCTGCATTTCCGTGTTGCAATGCTTTGTCTCCAAGAATTACCCCTTTGGCCTCTCTGATCGAATTAATCCCTCTGCTCTACATTTGATATTTGGTAATTGCATTAACTTTTGGTTGCTTGACTTGGAGGGTCATGTTCACCCCCTCCCCTGTCTGTTGTCTTGTTCCTGCCTGTTACAAAAATTTTCCACAAATCTCCTAAAACAAATCACACAAAGTTTAAAAAATAAAACCTGGCAACCATTATTTTTTTCTGCTTTTACTCTTCATCTCTTGCCCCATCCTCACCCCTCAGCCCCTCCCAGCCTGTTTAGCAGAGTTCTCCATACCCAGTTCTTACCATAGGAGCACACACAGGCAGGAGGGACTGGGCCTCACTGCTCTGCAGGATCACACCTGCAAATAGCTTTTCACTTGTTATAATAGCTTACCAAAATTATACATTGATACACATTGATAAGGAACTGTGAATACCTTGAAGGAGCATAGAGTATCATACGTTGGTACTCAGGCTTGGTAAGGAGACACCCAGTGTTTTCACAGAATCCAGGTAAGTTGGACCTGTATCTCCCACAGAAATGGCAGAAAAGACCATTTATGAAAGGAGTTACAAACAGTTCACTGACCTGTAAAAGGAAATTATCRCTAAAGTACTAATATGCTATGAAGGAATGAACAGAAGTTGTGAGTGAAAGAAAATGACACACCCCACAATTACAGACTTGAGGGTTTTAATATGTGACAAAATAATCAGCAATTTCAAGACCCATTTTAGGCACACAGTGGTGCTGAGGTGGAGTTCTGCAGAACAGACCAACCTGTGGCTAATAAAATCAGCAACTGGGCAGGCAGCTATCTGCCTTCCTTCCTCAGATATGAGCTGCAAAGGCAGGRTCTTTCAGTAACAATTCCACTTTCTAAAAGATCAAGAGAAGAAAATGAGCCATYGAAAATAAACACGTAAAATTTGGTGACCAAGGTTTAAAGACACTCAGAATAGATCTTCTCTTTATCCTTTTAGACTATATTTTTTAAAAAATTATACTTCGGATATGTATAGTATTTAATTTCTCTTTTAATTTGTCTGGCTTCATTGAGTTTCCAGTGTAATAAGTTCTGATGATTTAGGGGGACTTCCTCCTATACTTTGTTTAAATGTGTTGTCAGATCAGAAGATTTGAAAACCCAGCATTTGAATAATCGATTTACTTGCCTTGCTTTTCTTTTCTGCTTAAATCTTGAGCAGCTTAATTACCATTGCTATCTATATACCAATTAACTCTCTCACCTTTCTTATTTAGCACTAATAGTGTTGTTTTGTGAGCCAATTCCAGTGTTATTGTGGCTAGCCCTGAGATTTACTCTATTATAGGTGCAGTCCACAAACCTGCAGATTTCATAATGACTCTTCTAAAAGGGGATCCTACTTGCAGACCTGTAAGAAAATACATTTCCTTCAGATGAAGRTCATGTAACAGCAGTAGGTAACATTTTCAGGATTGTACAACATTCTCAGTGTTGTATCTACAGATAATCCCTTGTTAATTATTACCAGGGTCAAGTACCTGCAACACTCCAGATGCCAAACTTGATTTCCCCTGGTGATGGTTGTTGATGSCTTTCAACATCCTGAGCAGTGTATTGGTGACTCAGAAACTGCCTTCATATGCACAATTTTACTTCAGGACAAAATACAAATTACAGATGGCGTAGAAGCCCACCACCACCAGCTTACAAAGCAGACTGATTGTTTTCCATACCCAAGGTGGGCAGGCTAAAAATGCAGGAAGTTGTTTTCAAAAAGTGGAGCATTTCCACAGCCATGCCTCTAATTGCACCAGCCCCAATCCAGCTGTTATTATTATACCAAACAGAATAAAAGGTAAAATCTTTATGGCAGTACAAACACATAGAGCAAGAGATGCCAAACGGGAAAGGTGGTCTGGAGAGGGGAAAGTACCTGAATAGCAGCTGGGGGACAATTTGTCTGTATCCCCAGATGCAGATTTTCTGATGAAGTTCTGTGATTAAATGAAATTCAAGGTGTTTGAACTAATTCTGCTCATATTATTTTTGCCACCACAGGGTGTCTCTGCATCTCTTCTAACACTGAGGGCTTYGGTAGCCTTTAATGGCAGTCTGCAAGCTCCAGGGAACATAGGGTTAAAAGAAAACGTTCCCCAGTTTACTGTGGATTTTCCTCAGGATCATGAGCCTCCTTGGATTGGAATGGTGACACCTTCATTAGCTGRTAGGAAATGCTTTAGCAACTACAGTGCAACGATGTTTAGTTTGGTTTTGAGAACTCTCTGGTACCACACTGGAGGAAGCCACGGCCATATGAGGTGGGGCACAGCTGTAGCTTCAGCTCATTCTGCACTATGCTCACAAAGGCATTTTCCCTGTAGTGGAATAGTTCTACTATTTTCTGATTTCTGTTTTTTCTGACTTGCACCTTTATGCTGGTGTGGGTATTTCTGTTCCCCTTCAATCAGGATAAAGCTGGCATGGGGTCAGCACAAACACTGTATCATTTTATTTGTATAATAAATTATTTTAATATGTAGGGTTTAGGGTCTTCTAGGAGTTTTTTTGAGTCTTATTAGCTTAGGTCTGGTATCAGTACTTGTTCCACCCTCCACGTAGTTGTAGTAATGACTTGAAGTGAGACCAGAGAAAAGACAGAAAGATCTAGTGAAAGGTCTCTCTGTCCCAGAAGCTCATGACCTCATGAACCAGGATGACTTCTCACTTTCTCACTATTCAGATGTGGCTTGGGTTTGAAGAATGAGGTGACACTGTACCTGGTAGCAGGTGCTTCCTGTGCTTGGTGCAAGCCTCTGAGTGGGTGCTGGTGTGGCTGTGTGCTGTAGGGGTACCATATAAATGTATCTTTGTCTAGGATGCCTGAAAAATTAATTTTCCTCAGCAGGAAAGAGTTAGGCAGGAATTCCAGATGAGAAGTGCTGACCTAAGTACTCCGTGGATGGATAAAGCTTAAAACTAATTGTCAATCTCCTGATTGTCATCAGGGCAGACCAGTTGGTTGAAACTCCATCTTTGCACAGAGAAAATACACTTAGAAGTGTTTTCTACTTCCATTAGGAAAAGTTTCTCAGGGCAAGGTTCTTATGAGTGTGATATGTGAATTAAAAAACTGAGACTCAAAGTGCTGCCTGAAGTGACATCTATTCATTCATGCAGATAATTAGCTTCAGCAGAAGAGACAGAATCACCCTCCAGTGGCAGGAGGTGGAGGAGTCTTTAWTGCAGTGAGCAAGCTCTCAGGCAGGTCCTCAGAAGAWGGGAGAGAGGTTCCTGTGACTCAGYCCCTCMGAGGAGTTCCACAGTTCCCCCAGGAGCTGGATCCCCTAAAGTGCTGACAGCCCCTGGCTTGCACCTGAATCGAGCTGTGATAACATCTGAGCCCGGATTTGGGCAATAACTGAGTGTCCTAATGGATGGGGCTGTGGGTGTTTTCACACTCCCTGGCTACGTTCTCATCAAAACACCCAACTGGCTGATAAGCAGTTGAGAAATCGGGATTCATGCGTTGCTCAACCCCAGTGAGTGTGTGGTGCTTTGTCTGCTCCTTTGAGGAACAATCACCTTTTCTTATATTTCCGTATCTGAAACCATAGATTTGATCTGATGATACTGTTGTACTTTATTTCCAACAGGCACCCCAAGATCTGCAGTCTACATATTCAGAAAAGCTACTTGCCTTACCCCAATGGCTGGTTTGAATGGCTAGTTCTAGCTGTCACTGACATCCATGGAAAATGAATGAAGGCACTGACAGGTGAAGTATCTTTTGACAAGTGAAAGAGGTACCATTGGGGACAGCAATGTTAAATGTCACTTCTCAAAAACTGTGCAGACTTTCTTATTCCTTCATCTCTGTTTAGAGTATGTGATAGCCTTGGCTTGAATGCAAAGGAACATGAGCTGCTTCCGAAGTTCTGTTCTGTACAGGGGGATGGGGCAGGCAATGGAAGCACTAATGTTAATGAAGGTGAAGATATATTCTGGCATTTAGGTTAAATGCGAGGTGAAGTCTAAGCCAGAAGCAAGGTTGTATTTCATCTGAGAGACACAATCTTTTCAGAATRTGTGGCTGACCTACTAGCTTATCTGTCTCTGAATTCTCTCTGTGTTATGGGTTTTCATTCACAAGAACTCACCCATGCCAGCAGGGATTGAACAGCAGCACCTTTGGTCATTCTCTTCCTTTTAAAAAAWTTTTCTCTGTAGRGAGGAGAAGGAGAAAGAAGGCGATTACAGAAATACACAATGGTTTTCACCGAAATCCCCCCAAAGGCTGCTGGCTGCAATGAGCCCACTCCGGTGACCACACCCAGCGCTCCTTTCCCTGCTGGGTGCGGGAGGAGGCGGGATGCGGGCTGGAGCCGGAGGCTGCCTTCGCCTTCCGTCACTCCAGGACTCGCTCCCGCCTGGCATGAGGGTGTGGAGGGGGTACCTCCGTGCCTCGCCTCTCCTTCCTACTCTGTGATGCGAGGCGCAGGCATGCTCAGTAGCCGGTGCCTACCCCTCCTCTCCCAACAACAGTGCCTACAACAGTAGGAGACTGCTGGCAGCAGGCGCGGAGCCGAAAGCCATCTTTGCTGGAGAGGGAGGCAGCGCAGCCCGGCCGGCCCCTCGCCATGTGAGTATGGGCCTGGAGCCGGCGCGGCTCGCACGGACCGCGGGCACCCTGTTGCTGCCGCAGCCCGGGGGGTGGCTGTGCCGCCCGGGGGGTGGCTGTGCCGCCCGGGGGGTGGCTGTGCAGCCCGGGGGTGGCTGTGCAGCCCGGGGGGTGGCTGTGCAGCCCGGGGGTGGCTGTGCAGCCCGGGTGGGTGCGGGGGTGCGGGGCGGGTGGGGATGGCCGCGGGCTGAGGGTGCCGCGCTGCCGGGGCTGTGAGGGGCGGCTCGCAGGGCGGGGGGCTCGGCAGGTGCCGCGCTCGGAGCTGCGGCAGCACCGCCCGGCTGCCGGGCACCTGAGCGCCCAGATGGGCTCTGTGCTGTTTATCCAGCTGCCGGGCAGCAGCCCAGGGGYTATTGACACGTTTCTAGTCGGATTAATACAGAAAACGGAAGGCTGGGCCAAGATCCTCAACAGGTTCGAGTCAGGATTGTTCAATAGCATGAGTCACTCAGCGCTGCTGCTCCACAGCAAATGGGTCCTGTTTGTTTTCCCATTTAATGAAATGTTCCCTCTCAGATGATTGCTGTCTGATCAGTCCAGCCTCACCTTCTCCGGTACCAATGGCTTCCTGTCAGCAGGGTTGGATAGTAATCTGTTCCTTCTTGTTGCCATCTCTCCAAATACCTCTTCCAAGTTTCTACATGTAGAATTAATGGAAGCATTTACATGCTAGGCAGTGATGAAAACCCCAAGGTCCATTCTGAAACCAGAAGTGTGCGGAGGTAAATAGGAATGGATCAGACCCCTCTTCATTCACAAAAGGATTCAAGCATCTAAATGCATCATTTTACTATTGCCTCAATTCATTGCTCATTCCGAGTAATCCTTAAGGGAGAGCCTAAGAGGATGTCTAAGCAAACAGTCATTTGTGCTGGTACTGGGTGATCCTGTAAGAACTGGAACTTGGTTGATTCAGAGAACATGAGTGCCAACTGTCCTAAAAAACTGTGATTAAATAACTTGTAAAGTATTTCCAATTACCAAATGTTCTTCAGGAGGCATTTTCAAAATAGAGTCTACAGTCACATACTCTGAAATGTTAGCTTTTTTCTTTAATGCTATTTTCTGTATAATACCTCAGACAAGATGCTTTTGTTCATGTTGTCCAAAATATTTCCAAAGCAAGGAACTTTTTGGAGGTAAAAAAAAAATCACTTTCTAAAAGAAGATTCCTTGTGCAAATACTGAAGTCTGTCAGTTAAACCCAGTTCACTGTAAGCTCCTGTTGCCTAGCTGTGTTTATATTGAGCTCGATGATGACATGAAATACTTTGATTTGTATGTGAGCTGTTCTTCGATGATTAATATATGAGTTTGCTGCTGCAGTTTTATACAATCTGAGCTGTTCTAATGCTAAGCAATAACATTTAATATAACCTGGGTGTGTTTCAGTTTTGGTGTGTATAGGTTTCCTTGAGAGCATTTATAAATGMAGTAGAAAGGGTGATGCTAATATAACCTGGTCTTACTGTCTGGTAAGAGAGTTACGTCAGACTTCTGACAAAAATTAGAGGAAAAAGGCAAAGCAGTTTTTGTCTAATTTGGCTGTATAGACTTTAAAAAAAAAAAAAAAAAAAAAAAAAAAAGCCAAGACAAATAAGCAGCTTGTCATTGGCAGTGTCAATTGGCTTCTGTTTCATTGCCAGATATTGTAATGAAACCTTTTCTTTGAACATCTCCATGAATGTCATATCCCAGTAACTTCTGAGTTACTGATGAACAACARAGATAAGTGTGTATTAGCTACTGATGTGTAACAGCAGCAGCAATTGTAGTTCAATGGCTGTCAGAACCCATTGCTAATGAGCACCAAATGCTCTCTGCRGGTCACTCCTCCTGCTCTTACACCTGTAGGAGTATTGAGCTTCTCCGGTGCCTGTACAGACACGTGCTAGCCCAGGTGCTGTGTCTTCACAGGTGTGAATATGTGTGATAAAAATCTCCGGCACTGGGCAGATGTCAGATCCACCTATCCCAGTGTGCTGTTCCCCACAGCAGCTTGCTGCGTTTGCTCAGGGTTTTACAGTGAGTGTGCAAAGGTATTCCCAGAATGCTTCCCCATTTTCCAGCTTAAGAAAAGTAAGACACTTGGGGAGTGTCAGAACCTGAGGAGAGTTCTTTGTGTTTCATGACTCCCAGTAGGTTTTGTTATTTCAGCAAGGTGTCCAGTTGCTCGATTTGTAGCATTCTGGGGTGAGGAGCTCGCCAGCTGTACCATACAGGGTGTGGAAGTTGCTCCCTGTTGGTTTTGAACTGATAGGTTGCAGGTGCCAACTGATCTTACTCTTGTACTGGAAAGCAGAGAACAATGTTCCTTTTTCACCATGTTTTCTGTGATCTATGATTGTGTATCAGCCCAGCAGACCTGTGTGATTGACATCTGTCCTGTGGCCTCTATCACAATGAGCACAATCTGGGGCAGGTGAGATACATTCAGGTAACACACAGCTTCCATCTTTACGCAGGCAGAGGACAGGAAGCTGTAACATCAAAAGATAGAATGAAAGGAGAAAGATATAAAAGGGATTTAAAGCAAGAACAGAGAAGGGTAAGACCTTGCCTGTGCAGATGGGAAGTTTTTTCCAAGTGTAAGGAAGAGCACACAAACTCTTTTGGAGGAGATGGGAGAAGCAGTGAAGGACAAAATGGTGCTCAAAGTTGAGGTACTTATAGCTTTGTTGCTCGCTGGAAAACAGGCCAACAGCAGCAGGTGAAGTTATGGTTTTGTTTCATTTACAATGGTCACAATTCAATAGGTAATTATATACAATAGCAGCTCAAGGCATCATGTCATCTGTTGTTTACAGGCAGGTCAGTGACCAGACAGCAGGGTGCCTTTGATTACATTAATCCAATACAAATGTGCTCTATTGCAGGGGACAACTTTTGTGAGACAAGCAGCAAAGCACAGCACCTGGCTCTCCCTGGGGCAAAACTGTCTCCTACCCCGGGTAGCAGTTAGAGCTTCCTAAAAGAAATATCCTCCTGCCTGTTTTAGAGCAGCAAGGAGCCCATCCTGGAGGGGATGACTGGGATTAAAATGGTTCCAGCAGTAGTAATGAGACTGTTCTGGTTGAACGTCTATTCAGTTTTTCTGAGAAGAATGTCATAGCTATTGTCTCCTGCTGTTTGTAGAGCAGTACTTAGCCCTGCATTTGTGGGCAGAATTTTATAAAACTTGTCAAAATCTCCCTGCCTTTCTCTTGTACTGATCAGCAGAGACAAAGCATTCAATACAGTGCTCTGCACAGTCCTGATCCACTGCTTTCAGGGAGTTTAGTGGCTTACAAAAGTGCATACAGCTAGTGCATGTCCTAGAAAAGTATAACAAACATGAAATGGAGGGATACACTTTCTAAGTGGTGTAGCTGTTCCATGCTGTAAGCGTCTGTTCCCATAGAAATAYGTTTCACAAGAGCTCCATAAATCCATGGTGGCAGGAAGATGTGAATCCACTGGAGCTCTCAGGGATTGATACCTRGTGGCCAGCTGCCTCAGACCCAGAYAAGCCAARTTCAGGACTGACATTTGCTGACATTCTGCCTCCTCCCTGTAGCCAGAGGGACTGATGGYTGGAAACAGTCTTGCAGTACTGTTTCATACAATCATGGCTATGGAGGAGTGGCTTACTCTTCTCATTTAAGGGACGTTATGGGGTTTGTAGTGAAAATAACCAGGCTGTTCTCAGAGGAGCAGGGCTGTGTACATGAGAAGAGGATGTTGAGAAGTGGAAAGCACCCCGTTCTCAGCATGGTTCTGTTCTGACTGTTGGTTCAAAGGCTCACACCTCTTAATGCCCTTCCTTCAAGGCTCTTACTAGGAATAGGAGCTGCTGTTTAATCTGCTGCTTGGAGACATCACCAGAGGGATATATGTGTTTTATTCGTTGTTTGCTTCCCTTGACTTGCTCTCTTGTGGCATCATGTAGACACAGATCAACTTCATGTATTGCAATAGAAATAAATGCTTCCAGCTCACATGAAGTGTAATTCCTGATACACTTGACTTGCTGTTTGAAGGAAGGGTGGCCCAAGTTGATCATGAATCTTTTGGATATTTGGATGATGAATGTTTAAAAGTGTAAAGATCAATTTACATGGTATCTTGAGGACCTCAGCAAAGAAAGTAATCCCAGGATGGGAGCATCTGGGAATTACATGTGAGTAATGTAAAGTACAGGCAAAGATAATGTGTCCTAAAAACATTCTTCCGAACAGGCTAATATGAAGTAGATGAACCCCAAATCTATACAGTTTGGTGSTCTCGTTCCTTGTGACAGCTCTGATTCGTTCTGCTGTGCATCAGCCATAACTTGTTCCTGTTGGCTTCCAGGCATTTTGTGCAGGTAGTTCCAGCTGTGGAGTGACTCACAGGACACTGAGAGTGGCTGCAGTGGAAGATTAATTGGTCTGGCAAAGGAACGTTTCTCCTTTTTTAGGGGCTATTTACATAATTGATGTCTTCCTGAGGAATCGGTGATTAGGCTGTAGAGCACCAGGCAAAGCCATATTTGTGTGCACGTGTGTACAGAATGTTCCTGGGTGGGGGTTGAACAGGCGGGGCTGAGGAGAGGAAAGCAGGGTACTCAACTTGTTCTTCTTCTCCTTGCACGGCTCCTCTGCCACTGTTTGTAGGATGCAGAACACATGGAAGCTGCTCCCTGACATGTTTAGCCAAATGCTTACAGTTCTGGAAGGAGCAGCACAGACTGTCACACATACGTTCAGACTGACCAAACTGTTTGTTTTAAGCAATTACAGCTCAGAGACAGAATATTCTCTCTCCTACGTCATTCAGTACTTTCTGCTGTCATTATTTATAGCCATTACCTGCAATTAACTGGGCTGGGTCTCTTTAATGATGCAATTCCTTTTTTCCTGGTGTCTGTGGTTGAGCACTCTAAATCCTTTTCCATTATTCACTGAAGAATCATCAACTGATTGCAAGGTGGGTTTTTTCTA